GCATATGGTACTGGCAAACTTCAAATAATTGAAGGAAGGATGAGTGGAAAAATGTACAGAGACATTCTTGATAAAAATGCTTGCATGTGAGTTTTGAGCGCAGCTTTGTTGTCTTGATGTTTATTACAGAGAACACTTGTTCACAAAGGTAGGTACAGTAGGTAGTTCCAAACATGCACAAAAGTTGTGCAGCCAGTGTTGTTATTTTTGGATATCCTGGCAAAAGATACTGCTAAAATGTGTCCAAGCCCACTGAGGCAAATGTGTCCTGCAGATTTCTCCCGCAGATTGTAGAAATGCTTCAGTAGAGCTCCTCAGCTTAACCACATTACTTCAGTGTGATATAGCAGCCAATGGGTAATTTTTTTTCACTGAGAAAGCAGTCAAACTGCCGATGGTTCAGACCTCTTGCTCGGATAAAATTAACAGTGCGAACAACCACGTCCATGACATGATCCATTTTTAACAACTTGCAACACAGTGCCTCCTGATGCAAAATACAATGAAAAGTCCAAAAATCATCTCCTCCGGTTGCAGCTTGTACTTTCTCTCTGAGTTTTGTCACAACACCTGCCTTTTTCCCGATCATTGATGGCACGCCATCAGTCGCCAGGCTGACAGCGCGGGACCAGTCCACTCCGACTCTGTCCAGCGCATCGACAAGAGAGAAGATGTCATCAGCTGTTGTGGTGTCCGTCATTGGCACTAACTCCAGAAACTTCTGTGATGGTTACTGTCTTATCAACTCCACGTATAAATATGACCAGCTTAGCAATATCTGTTATGTCCGTGCTCTCGTCGATTGCAACAGAAAATGCAATAAATGATTTAACTTTTTGTTTCAACTGACTGTCCAAATCTGCAGAGAGCTCAGAAATCCTGTCAGCAACAGTGTTTCTTGTCAAACTAATGTTGGCAAAAGCTTGTCTCTTCTCAGGGCACACGATTTCTGCCGCCTTCATCATGCTTGTTTTTATTCTCACCCTCAGTCTACGGTTTGGATGCTGATGCTATTTCATTAGCAATAAGGTAGCTAACTTTCAGCGCAGTATCACTAATCTCTCGGCTCCGGGTGAAAACAGACTGTTGTTTCTTCAGATTCACCAGCAGTTTGTTTATCTTTTCTTTTCTCAGTTGTCCTTGCAAGTTGTTGTATTATTTGCCATGCTGAGTCTCATATATATATATATATACATATATATACAT